ATAGCGATGGTAATGAAAATGACGATAATATTCGAGAACGATCACGAATAAGGATAATGATGATAATAATGACTGTCATTTTGATAGTAATTACAACAACACCGTTTAGTACGAAAGCGATGATAAAGAAGTTAAATGATAATGATAAATATGATAACAAACAACAATACCAAATCAACTGATGCTGAGGTTAAGAAAGAAATAACATATGTTAATACCACTGATGATCTTGATAAAGGCGATATGGTAATTATACTCTTATTGTGAACTTTAATCGTGATAGTGTTGTTCATATAACATTTTTATATTACGTTTTCGTTTAGTTCATGATGAGAAAGTGTGAGGGGGGTGGGGGGAGGGAAGAAGGGTGAAAGTAAGGATTTTAAGAATTATTATTATTATTTTTATTAACTCGAAGAAGGAGGAGGGAGTTGATTGGAGGTGGAGTGGTGAGTGAGCGGGAGGGAGGGAAGGAGGGAGGGATGGAGGGAACGAGGGAGGGAGGGAGGGAGGCAAGGAAGGAAGGAAGGAAGGAGGGAGGGAAGGAGGCAAGGAAGGAGAGAAGGAGAGGGAGGGGGAGGAGGGAAGGAGGGAGGGAGGGAGGGAGGGAGGGAGAGAGGGAAGGAAGGAAGGAGAGAAGGAGGAGAGGGAGGGGGAGGAGGGGAAGTGGTGGCTGAGCGGAAGGGAGAGAGGGAGAGGGGGAGGAAAGAGGGGATGGGAGGGGGTGGAGGAGGGGGGGAAGAGACACACGTGGCCACAGTTGGACAAAGTCTTTCGTAATTCCATTAAACCGCGAGCATGAGACAGAGGATCTCCGGGCCAGCGAAATGACCCAGGTCTCCTAGCGAGCGAGGACAATACGGGTGAAGACCGGTGTTTTTTCACAGGCAAAAGCGGTCTTACGGACACAGGTCGCGAGGGTCCACTTTCCCCTGCGTGCTCCGAGACTCACAGTGACAAACCTTTAATCATCCGCTTGGAAAGCCCCCTCTCCCCCTCCTACCCCCACCCCCTCTCCCCTTGCTTCCCTCACTCTCTCTATTTCTGTCTTCCTTTTTTATCCCTTATTCCCTCTCTCCTTCCTTCTCTTCTTCCCTACCTTCTTCCTTTCCTTTCTTTCATCCTCCCTTCTTCTTCCCTTCCTTTCTCCCTCCTTCCCTCCCTCCCTCCTTCCCTCCCTCCTTCCCTCCCCCCCTCTCTCCTCTCCCTCTCTCTCCTCTCTCTCCTTTCTCTCCTTTCTCTCCTTTCTCTCATCTCTCTCCTCCCTCTCCTCTCTCCCTCTCTCTCCCTCTCTCTCTCCCTCTCTCTCCCTCTCTCTCTCTCTCTCTCTCTCTCTCTCTCTCCCTCTCCCTCTCCCTCTCCCTCCACTTTCTCCCTCTTTCTTGTCCCTCCCTCTTTCCTCTCCCTCCCTCCCTACCCCTCCCTCCTTCCTCCCTTCCTCCCTCCTTCCTCTCTCTCCCTCCCTCCTTCCTCTCTCTCCCTCCCTCCTTCCCTCCCTCCCTTCCCTTCTCCCTCTCCGGGTGGTGGGAATCGCCTGGAATGGACCTGGAATCCTTGGTAATGACATGGAAGGCATCGGGGAATAACCCCCCCCACCCCCCCACCCCCCAATCTCCTACACACGCTCGCTATTCAACATTATCGTTATCGTTGGCTTGTTTTGTTCCTTCGTTTCTGGGTATTACCATCACGTTCATCGTTATCTTCGCCACATCATCTTTATTTTCATCTTCATCATCTTCATCTTCATCATTATCATCATCATCATCATCATCATCATCATCATCATCTTCATCATCTTCATCATCTTCATCTTCATCTTCATCTTCATCGTCATCATCATCATCATCTTCATCTGCACCATCATCATCATCATCATCATCATCAATCACCATCACCATCATCATCACCATCATATTTGATATCAATAATGTCTTGTTATTGTGGCAAGTCTTATCAGCATCAGTTGATACGTACACATTTATACACATATCTCACGCACACAAACCTACATAGGACGTATATACATATAAGTGAGTCGATGATTAAATAGGTAGACGAGAGGGCGGATGGAAAGGAGGAGGAAGAGGGAGAGGGGAAGAGAAAGGGAGAGAGGAAGATGGAGAATGAGAGAGGGAGATGGAGAATGAGAGAGAGAGAGAGAGAGAGAGAGAGAGAGAGAGAGAGAGAGAGAGAGAGAGAGAGAGAGAGAGAGAGAGAGAGAGAGATTCTCCTATGTTTGACAGAGAAGGAGAGGGAAAGAGAGAGAAGGGAAATGCGAGAGAGAGAGAGAGAGAGAGAGAGAGAGAGAGAGAGATAGAGAGAGATTCTCCTATGTTTGACAGAGAAGGAGAGGGAAAGAGAGAGAAGGGAAATGCGAGAGAGAGAGAGAGAGAGAGAGAGAGAGAGAGAGAGAGAGAGAGAGAGAGAGAGAGAGAGAGAGAGAGAGAGAGTAAGCCTGTGTATGTTTAATTATCTGACCTTGAGAAATTTGCTGAGGAAATGTTTGCACAATGGTTGCGTTAAGTGTTTTTGTTGTATTCATGAAATTCTAATGTAATCAGAACCGGCATTTTATGAAGCCCAAGAATGCCCAAGAGACAACGGCGCTCTAATGTGGACAATCGCAATGGCCGCCATTGGCGCCCAGGGAACGGCCCAAACCGCAAAATCGCCTCTATGCGCCCCTGCCATTAGGCGGCGGCCCGTGCGCTGAGTCGCACAACCTAAGCAACTAGCACCCCTATGCTCGGCTGGCACAAGAGCCAAGATGCCGTGCGTGAGCTTATACCCCGCCTTGAGCCCGGGCTTGAGGAAGGCGATCTACAG